GCACACCTTTAATCCCAGCACTCAGGAGGCAGAGGCAGGTGGATCTCTGTGAATTCAAGGCCAGCCTGATCTACATAATGAGTTCCAGGACAGCTGGGGCTACAGGGAGACCTTGTCTCAAAAAAACAAAAAAAAAGGGGGGGGTAGGACCAATAGCCGGACACAGAGGCAAACATATTCATCAATTTGAAGTCAATAAATGATATAGAAATGATATAGGATGGGTGGACCAGCAAGATGCTTCATTAGGTAAAAGGGCTTGTCACCAAGACTGACATTCTGAATTCAATCCTGGGATTATAGGAAAGAACCAACTCCTGCAAGTTATCCTCTCACCTCCACACACCTCTCACAAATACGTGAATGTAAAAAAAAAACCTTAAATTGAATGAACGCTCATATTTAGAAAGTAATATCCAGTTTATAGTATGTCCATCTCATTTTAGACTCGCTTCCCTGCCTTGCTAACCACTGATTTTTTTCCTCTTTTTTAGCCAGCACTCCTTGAGAGTGTGAAGATATGATCTGAAGCAAGACTGTTTCAAAATCAAGCCCTATTTTCAAAAAGTATTGTAATTAGGGGCTGGAAAGATGGTTCAGTGGTTAAGAGCACTTGCTGCTCTTCCAGACAACCCGTTTGATTTCTAGCCCCCACATCAGGCAGCTTACAAGTGCCTATAACTCTAGCTCCAGGATAACTGATACCGCCAGCCTCTGAGGGCACCTGTACACACATGCACATATCCACATATGGATACATACACATGATTGTACATGATTGAAAATAAAACCTTTTAAAAAGTATTATTTATAACTAGCTTTTTGTTTAATTTTTTTTTTTTTTGGTCTTTTTGAGACAGGGTCTCCCTGTAGCCCAAGCTGTCCTGGAACTCAGTATGTAGACTAGGTTGGCCTTGAACTCACAGAGATCCACCTGCCTCTGCCTCCCAAGTGCTGGGACCACAGGTGTGTGCCACCATGCCCGGCTGTTGTTTGTTTTTTGAGACAAAGTCTCCCTGTAGGCCCAGTTGACCTGGAATTCACTATGTAGATCAGACTGGTCCCCTTCTAACAGAGGTCTGTCTGCCTCTGCCTCTGGAGTGCTGGGATTAAAGGTGTGCCCCATCATACCCAGCTTATTTAACTTTTTGAAATGAGGTCTGTCTATGTAGCCCAGACTAGCCTTGACATTTTCATGTAGCCCAGGCTGGCCTGAAACTGAAGATCCTCCTGCTTCTATCTCCCTAGTACTGGGATTACAGATGTGTGCTGCCATACCCAACTTTTTTTGTTGTTGTTGGCCGTTTTGAGACAGGGTCTCCTGTAGCCCCAGCTGGCCTGGAACTCTCTGTGTAGACCAGGGTGGTCTCGAACTCACAGAGATCCATCTGCCTCTGCCTCCCGAGTACTGGGACCAAAGGCATGCAAAACCACGCCCGGCCGGCCTGACTTTGAACTCTTAATTCTCCTACCTCTACTTCCTAGGAGCTGGAATGACATGCGTGCACCGTCACCTCTGCTTTACCACAGGTGTTTTCCAACAGTTCACGTGGTTTTCTGTGGCAGAGTTCTGGGCTCCTAAAACCTCTCTTCTTCTTTCCAGCTACAAACAGTAATAACGGGCCAGGGCACAGATCATCTCAGCCATCTTGTACATGCCAAGCTTTCTTTTGATCACGGGGCCTTCTAAAAAGCCTCCAGTATGTCCAATGTGACAGCTTCTGTGGTATCAGTGCTCTCTCTCTTAACACTTGGTGATCGTCGACTTCATGGTTAGGAAGCAGCAATGTCTTTCAGGTCAGTTAGGGGCACAGAAACTTGGTAGACATGTCCACTCTTTTTTAAAAATAATTTATTTTTATTTTATGTGTATGTGTGTATTGCCTGCATGTATGTAAGTGCACCTGTATCATGCAATGCCAGAGGAAGACTGAAGAGGCCGTTAGATCCCATGGAAATGGAGTTACAGACAGTTGTTAGGTGCCATGTGGGTGCTGGGATTCGAACCCCAGTCTTCTGCAAGAACAGTCAGTGTTCTTAACCGCTGAGCCATCTCTCCAGCTCATGTCCACTCTTGAGGATGGGTACAGCCCAATCAAAGCTCACAGTTTCTCAGTGGGTGGTGGAAGATGGTGCATAGGTTGCATTGGATGACTGCTTGCTCCTCACCAGAAGCAGCATGGTATCTCTCAAACTGCTTCCTTTTCACAGCTTCCAGAGGTCATGAAGGATCTGGCCAGTTCTGTTTTCTCCTTTCATGAACATTTTGGTGAATTTGCTCACCACTAGTCTAAAAACTCAGAGCTTGTCTTCATCATGGGACAGTCTTGAGGAAATGGGTTTTCTTGAACTCCTGGTCATACCCCTCCTCAATGAGCTCTGTGACAAGTTTGTGTCATTTAGGGGATCCCTGAATTCAGGACCAAAGTTGCTCCACCTCATCTGGGTTAGCCCTGGAGCTGCCAGAGTACAGCACACTACCAGGGCAAAGCCTCACTGAAATACTTATATTTATTTTTAATAAGCCCAACTTTTTTATTTGTTTATTTCTTGCATTTGAAGTACTTGATGACATCCTTGACCTGAGATTCTTTATCATAGTCCTTTTGGGGGGTTTTTTTGAGACAGGGTCTCCCTGTAGCCCCAGCTGGCCTGAACTCTCTATGTAGACCAGGCTGGCCTCATATTCACAGAAATCTACTTGTCTCTGCCTCCCGAGTGCTGGGGTTAAAGGCATGTGCCGCCATGCCCAGCTTGGGCTTCCCCCTTCCATCAATTTTGCACAGGCCTACCCATTCCCCTAGCTGCTTCTTGTCAACCTTAATTAGGTTGATTTGGTGCTCAGCACAAAGGGCCTCCACCAACTTGACTTACATAGGCTAATCACAGTTGGATGAAAATACACAGAGATGGGCTTGGCCCTTGTCTAAGGCTTTGGCAATTTAGCTAATTCCACGAGCTAGGCCATAGTGGATAAGGGTGATCTTCAGCACCTCTCGTAAAGCAGTGTTAGCATCCATTACACCTCCAGCAGCAATGCCTTCCTCTGCCATGGCACCCCAGCTTCCACCTCCTGCGACTCAGAGGCGGCATGGGAACCCACTTAAAAGTTTATAAAAGTAATACAAAATTCACCACCAAAAGCCAGATATATCCAGGCATGGTGGTGCATACCTTTAATCCCAGCACTCAGGAGGCAGAGGCAAGTGGATCTCTGTGAGTTTACATAGTGAGCTCCAGGCTAGCTAGAACTATATAGTGAGACCCTGTTTTAAATTAAACAAACAAAACTGGCTATACTGGGTGTGGTGGCTCACACTTGTAATTCTAGTATTTGGGAGGCTGAGGCATGAGAATTGCTAAGAGTTTGAGATCAGCTTGGGCTTCACACAATCTGCTAAAAATCTGAGGGGCTGGAGAAATGGCTTAGTGGTTAAGAGCACTGGCTGCTCTTGCAGAGAACCCAGGCTCAAATCCCAGCACTCACATGGTACCTAATCAACCATCAGAAAATCCAGTTCCAGGGGATCCCAGGCCCTCTTCTATCCTCTGAGGGCACTACACGACACAGGTGCACTGACACACATGCAGGCAATATACTCATACACATAAAATAAATTAATAAAAATAAAATAAATTTTTTAAAGTCTGAGAGGGCTGGAGAGGGTTCCATGATTAAGAGGGTATTGTTCTTCCAGAAGACCAGGACCAGAATACATGATCTTCAGGGTAATCCTAGCTCTTCTAGCCTGCCTCCCTTTTTTCTTTCAAATGGGTTTCCCTTCTAATTTTCTCTAGTTCCAAGTGTCTTTTTATTTCCTCTTCTCTCCTCTCCTCTCTGTTTATAAAGATGTATTCATTTTTAATGTTTTATTTCCTTTTGAATTTTTATTTCTTTTTTGTGTTTGCCTGCATTCATATAAGTACTCCTGTGTGTTGTGCAGTCCTGTGGAGAACAGAAAAGGGCCGTTGTAGCAGCACATAGGGGCTGGGAACCAAACCCAGGTCATCTGGAAGAGCAGTCAGTGCTCTTAACCACTGAGTCACCTCTTCAGTCCTCTTTTTCTTTCTTGTCAGTGTCTCATGTAGATCAAATTTGCCTCAGACTCCCTTATGCAGCCAGCACAAGATTTCCTTGAACTGAACTCCTGATCCTCCCAAGAGCTGCACTTACAAGCAAGTATCTTTTTGAGACAGGGCCTCCATGTCGCCCCAGCTGACTTGGAACTCACTGTCTGCTAGGCTGGCCTTGAACTCACAGGTATCCGACTACCTTTGCTTCCCCAGCTCTGGGACTAAGTGCCGCCAACATTTTTTTTTTTT